ACACTTTATGGCATTCACGCTTAGGTCACGTCAACTTCAAAACATTGCGAAAAATGACAAATTTAGAAGTATTGCCAAAATTTGATTGCATTAATTCCAAATGTCAAATATGTGTGGAATCAAAGTATGCTAAGCATCCTTATAAGTCCGTTGAAAGGAATTCAAGTCCTTTAGACTTAATTCACACAGATATTTGCGACATGAAGTCAACACCATCTCGCGGTGGAAAAAAGTATTTTATTACTTTTATTGACGATAGCACGAGATACTGCTATGTTTATTTACTTAATAGTAAAGATGAGGCAATTGATGCTTTCAAGCAATACAAGAGTGAAGTTGAAACACAACTAAGCAAAAAGATCAAAATGATAAGAAGTGATAGGGGTGGAGAATATGAATCTCCTTTTGAAGAAATATGTTTGGAAAATGGCATTATTCACCAAACAACTGCCCCTTACTCTCCACAATCTAATGGAATTGCAGAGAGAAAGAATCGAACGTTGAAAGAGATGATGAATGCGTTGTTGATAAGTTCTGGTTTACCACAGAACTTGTGGGGGGAAGCTATACTTACAAATAACCGAATAATCAACCGAATACCTCATAGAAAACACAGTCCATTCCCTATGAAAAATGGAAAGGAAGGAAGCCCAGCTTGAAATACTTCAAAGTGTGGGGGTGTTTAGCTAAGGTACAAGTTCCTAAACCTAAAAGGGTTAAGATAGGTCCAAAAACGGTTGATTGTGTATTTATTGGATATGTAACCAATAGCAAGGCATATCGTTTTCTGGTTCATAAATCAGAAAATCCTGAGATTCACGTTAATACGATAATAGAATCAGATAATGCTGAATTCTTTGAAACTATTTATCCGTATAAAAAGGAAAGTGAAGTGACCTACCAAAAGTCAAAACGACCTCGGGAGGAAATAACAGATGGTATGCCTAATGAGGAAAATCCGAGAAGAAGTAAACGTCAACGGACATCTACTTCATTCGGTCCAGATTTTCTGACTTTCCTGCTAGAAAATGAGCCTCGTACCTTCAAGGAAGCAATGTCTTCCTCAGAAGCACAATATTGGAAAGAAGCTGTCAATAGTGAAATAGAATCCATATTGAGCAACCATACCTGGGAATTGGTTGATCTTCCTCCAGGTAACAAAACATTGGGTTCTAAATGGATTTTCAAGAAGAAAATGAAAGACGATGGTACTATTGACAAATACAAGGCAAGACTTGTTGTCAAAGGATTTAGACAACGAGAAGGTCTTGACTATTTTGACACATACTCGCCGGTAACAAGAATTACATCCATTCAGATGCTAATAGCGTTAGCCGCCTTGTATGGTCTTCAAATCCATCAAATGGATGTAAAAACAGCCTTCTTAAATGGTGATCTAGAGGAAGAAATTTACATGAACCAACCTGAAGGGTTTGTGGTTCCGGGAAAAGAAAAGAAGGTGTGTCGACTTGTTAAGTCCCTTTATGGACTAAAACAAGCACCCAAGCAATGGCATGCGAAATTTGACCAAACAATGTTGTCAAATGGCTTTAAGATTAATGAATGTGATAAATGTGTTTACATTAAGAACGTTCCAAATCATATAGTCATTGTTTGCTTATATGTTGATGATATGCTAATAATGAGCAAAGACATTGCCGACATTCAAGCTACTAAGCGTATGCTTTCTAGTAAGTTTGATATGAAAGACTTAGGAGTTGCCGATGTAATTCTAGGAATTAAAATCCAGAGGACTCCTCAGGGTCTAGCTTTGTCTCAATCACATTACGTGAAAATGGTACTTGAAAAATTCAAACATTTGGAATTTAGAAGTGCAAGAACTCCAATTGACTTAAATCATCATCTTATAAAGAATAAAGGTGAAAGTACGTCTCAATTGGAGTATGCTCGTGTGTTGGGAAGCTTAATGTACATCATGAACTGTACACGACCTGATATAGCTTGTGCAATAAGTAAACTTAGTCGATTCACAAGTAATCCAAACAAACATCACTGGGTGGCAATGAAACGAGTTCTGGGATATTTGGAATATACCCAAGACTACGCTTTGCACTACAATAAATATCCTGCGGTTATCGAAGGATATAGTGATGCAAATTGGATAACCGGCTCAACAGAAATAAAGTCCACAAGTGGATATGTTTTTACTGTTGGTGGAGGAGCAGTATCTTGGAAGTCTTCCAAACAAACGTGCATCGCTCGCTCTACAATGGAATCAGAGTTTATAGCTTTGGATAAAGCCGGTGAAGAAGCTGAATGGCTTCGAAATTTCTTAGAAGACATTCCGTTCTGGCCAAAACCTTTGGCTCCTATTTGCATACATTGCGATAGTGAGGCTGCAATAGGACGGGCAGGGAACGTTATGTATAACGGAAAGTCTCGTCATATACGACGAAGACATAACACCATTAGACAACTACTTTCTAGTGGAATTATCACTATTGATTATGTAAGATCAAAGGATAATGTGGCGGATCCGCTTACAAAAGGCTTAACTAGAGAGGGAGTTGAGAAATCATCTAAGGGAATGGGACTATGGCCGAGGACAAGTCAACATGGCGGTAACTCTACCTAGAATTTTGGATGTTTCGAGATCTAGGTTCAAGGAGCTCAAACAAAGTTGCGATTGACCGGTTCAACATTGTCAAAGTAAAATCTTTGGTCCCTTCTCGTGATGAAGACAATGTTCAGTAACAAGGATAGAACCTTACACGTTCTTTAATGATTACCTAAGTTTGATGTGGTATTTATCAAATAGTGTCAATCTAAAGGATTACACGTTTAGGAATCACCTATGTAAGTGTGAAGTGGAAGCCGCTTCAATGAGAATTCTGTAAGGCCAATTCTCTACACACTTATGAAACCAGGCGGTGTTCATGGCTGAAACGAACACAACAATGAGAACCAAAAGACGGTTAAGGGTTGGTTGTGTGACATATGGTTGTCTAGGTATACACTAAAGTTCGACGGTTCAAAGATATCAAATCTACCGATTGACCGAGTATGTCCGACATATGTTCACTACGGAAAATTCAAAGGGAAACCTACTTATCCAGATGCGATTAATCATTACTTGCAAATCACACAGCTTTCATCTATGATCATTCTTGTTACAGCCATTCCCATTCATGTGGGGGATTGTTGGACTTTAAAGGCATTGAGCTTCAAAGACTTTAAGCATTGGGCTTTAAAGTATAAGAGTGTGAATTGGAAATGGTGGAAAATAAAATGGAGGGAAATGAAAATTTGAATGAAGTGAGCTTTTGACTTGCACTTTGTCCCTCATTGGTGAGGGACAACTACATTTGTGTGCTTATATATAAAATCACTTCTTAAAGCTCTTAAAAGGAGTTGAAGAGAATAAACACTCGCGTCGTCGTCGCTCGCTCGCTCGGCTCGGCTTTGGCTTTGGATTTGGATTTGGATTTGGATTTGTCAAATGATCGATCGATAAGATTATTTTTTGGACAAAATTTATTTAATTAATTATTTAATAATTAATTAAATGCCAGATCACTGCTGAAGATTCAGAAGGATAGTCTGGCCGCGGTCCTGGCGTAATCGCGGTAGGACCGCGCCAGAACCCTGCTGCAGATTCAGAGGGCCACTCTGGCCGCGGTCCTGGCGTAACCGTGGTAGGACCGCGGCAGGCTGCGTAACTCTGAAAGGCACCTTTTCCAGAACAAACATCACACCTCTTCCAATAATTGCCTATAAATTCTGAGGCATGGCTTCGTTTTTAATACACCAAAAACATTACAGAACTTCCTTCTCTCTGAAAATACTGCATTCTAATTGGCAGTCTCTCTGTCTCAAATTCGTAAGTGTGATTTTGCTCCGTTCTTTAAGTTTGTTGGTATCCTGCAGTTTGTATTGCCACTGTTGCAGGAAGGTTTATTCCGTTTTATCCTGGGAGGATTTAATCCATTACCTTGGCAACGTGTGAGGGGGTTAAAATTCCTTAAGGATGCACAAGAAAATTGTGGACTCGGAATATTTCTTAATCTTTACTGTTTTTCCAGTTTCTCTTATTCTTCTAACAGTTTTTTGATTTTGTGTTTTAACACAGTAGCAACAACAATATCTTGTTCTTTATTTATGCTCAATTTTTTTAATAGGGCAACATAAATTTCAAGAGGTTGTAAGGTTTTTTGAAACAACTTCTATGTGATGCACCTTAAATTTGTATTCTAATATTTCACTTTAAATTTTAATACTAGGAGTATAATTTATTTGAGTTAAATAATACATTTGCATTATCTGCCACTAAAAAGACATCTACAGGTAACCCTCATTGAAATCTAAAATTTGTAACTCTAAATAAAATAGGTAACCTGCTACAATACCATTAGAACCTGATGTAGTCATTTCTATATAGATGGTGTATGTAACTTAAACGCAATAATAAATACTTATATTTAAACAAGTACCTCTAATATTAAAATTTAGGAGTTTAAGTTATATACACGGATAATAAATAATTTATATATTATCATATCACTTTATGTTTTGTAGTAGATAACTTATCTTATTCTTAAGATTACAAATATCACTCTATATGGAGGTATCCATGAAATCTTCAAATGACTTGATAACACAGCTCAAAACTTGATGTCGATAAATACTCCCTCTATTTCAATTTATGTGACATAGTCTGATTCAACATAGAGTTTAAGATTTTCTTTTTGAAACTTATTATTTTAAAAGCTCAAAAGGTAAAGTCTTTATGAAACTAATAAAATTTGTATGTCTATAAAATCTTATAATAATAAAATTGATAAAATATAAAGTTTAAAACATATTATTTTAAATATAAAAATCCATATTCTATTTGAATTAAATGAATAAAAAATATATCCAAATTGAAACGGGAGAGAATACTAAAATAGTATGTATGTCCAAGGGAGACCGAGTAAAAAATAGTGCGAGTGTTCCGTGATATTGAAAAGATAGAGTATTTTCCTTTAGTCTCAATGTGGTGTCGTATCCTCTGCAAAAGACACATTTCTCTGTTTGCATGTCATTTCTTGAAAATTGAAAAGAAAGAGACATAATGGGCTCCTCTCCTCCTCTTTCTCTTTCTCTTTCTCTTTCTCTGCCTCTACACAACCCCCCACCCCCTATCCCCACATAAGCCAAATACTAGGCCACCATTTCCTATCCCTTTTAAAATCAACCATTTTATTCATCTACATTTGATTATCATTTTCCTAAGAACTGTTTGAAAAAAGGTGCAAATTTCTCTTCTTGAAAGACCCCACAAATCCAAACAACACACGTTGTCTTTCTATCTCAATGTTCTTTAATAAAAAGTACCAATCGTGTGATCAGGACTAAAAGTTTCCCTAATTCTTTGCTTGTGTTAGGGTCTTTATTTTGATCATTTCTTGTTCATTGGGTTTTGGGTTTGTTCCATTCTTGTCTAATTTTCTTCTACAAAGTATCCTTTTTTTAATCATTTTTCCTGACACCCAATTCTATTCCCAGACATAAATCCTTGTTTGTCTGCTTTGGTATTAGGGTTTGTTTTTTTCTTGTTTGTCCCTATATTCCTCACGGGTTTGAATAAGAACGCCAAAACAATGCTGCTAATGGGTATGCAAATTTGACCTTCTTGGCCCAGAATTGTTTTGCTGTCTCGTTCAGGACTTTTTGCAAACAGTTGGTCTGCAACTCTGCTTGGTTCTTGAATTTTGTGTTGAGATATGGGTTGTGTCCATGGGAAGTGTTGTTGTAGGTACCCAGGATCCTCAGATGGTGATAATAGGGAAGATTTGGGCACATATGCTCAGGCTCAAACACATATTCTTGCTGGCAGGTCAGTAGATAGTGCTCAAGTCCCTTCACATAACTTTAAGTTAGAGTACGCTGTGCTTACGCAACGTGGGTTTTACCCTGAATCCCCTGAGAAAGAGAATCAGGATAGTTATTGTATCAGAACACAACTTCAGGGTAATCCAAATGTTCATTTCTTTGGTGTGTTTGATGGGCATGGACAGTTTGGTACTCAGTGTTCATTGTTTGTTAGGGATAGGCTTGTCGAGATTTTATCGGATGATCCTACATTGTTAGATGACCCTGTTAAGGCTTACAATTCTGCATTTTTAAGAACAAATGAAGAACTTCATAGTAATAGTGATATTGATGATTCCATGAGTGGGACAACCGCTATAACTGCTCTTCTTGTTGGAGACATGCTTTATGTGGCAAATGTAGGTGATTCAAGAGCAGTGTTGTCTGTTAAGGAAGGGAATAGGGTTGTTGCCAAAGATTTGTCTTCTGATCAGACACCATTTAGGAAAGATGAATGTGAGAGAGTGAAAAGCTGTGGGGCAAGAGTTCTTAGTGTTGATCAAGTGGAAGGTCTAAAGGATCCAGATATTCAGTCGTGGGGGGACGAGGAAACGGAAGGGGGTGATCCGCCAAGGTTGTGGGTTCAAAATGGGATGTATCCGGGGACTGCGTTTACGCGAAGTGTTGGAGATAGTACTGCTGAAAGTATTGGTGTAGTTGCTGTCCCAGAGGTGTCAACAGTACAGCTCACAAATAGTCATCCTTTCTTTGTGATTGCAAGTGATGGTGTCTTTGAGTTCCTCTCCAGCCAAACTGTGGTGGACATGGTAAGGCTTACTTTATTTGATGCTAAAATCTACTGGAGTTTATTTATTGTTTGTTTTAATTCATCTTTATTGTTAGCAACCTGTCACTGGTGGTGTGGCTCTCTGTACTATTAATATCAGCACTTCTGTATGACATGCTACGTTTCATCAAGATAGTAGATGTCATTTATGTCAAATCTGAGGTAGTATTTTTATTTATTTCTATGTATGTGTGTCTGTTAGTATATCTGTATGCATCTACCACGTGAAGTTCAATCTTGATGATATTTCCCCTAGTGGAAGCTATACTACATTAAGCTGAGATTCTTCTTACTTCGTTGTATTTGAGAGTTTCCAAATAAGATGCTTGGCATAAAATTGCACTAAGTCTGGACAATGGATGCAATGGAAAAGAATTGTAGTAAAAGAAAAGGAAGGGGAAATGTTAAAGAGATCAACTTTATACTTTCAGGTAGCCGTTAAAAATCAAGTTGGAAGGATAGCACATTATTTTCTGAACTTTTGTCTTAGGTAAATCACTTTGGTGGTAGCTTGGAGCTTCTTGGACATAAAGCAGTGAGCATCCCTTAATTTTGCTAGCTAACCTTTTGCAGTCTCTGCCTTTTAGAGTCTCACATATCCTACTGATCAGCTGTAGGACAGAACAGTGTCTAAGAATTGTCGTTTATGTTGCGCATTTCTTCAATTGAGTTGGTTTCTCTCCCACAAGTCTATTAGAAACACCCTTTCTACCTGCACAAGATAGGGGTAAGGTCCACGTACACACTACACTCCCCAGACCACACTGTGGAAATATATTGGGTATGTTGTTGTTGTACTTTATGTGGCACATTTCCTTGTTTGAAATGACTATTAGTCAAGCAGTTGAGCTTGTGTCATAGCCTATTCAAGCTCTCGACTCTGACGTTATTTAGAGAAAATTCAAAGTAAGGGTTCCTGTTGGAATTTTAAGTTGCATATTTTCTTGAATAGTTAAGGGCAAGCCTGGGGCAATATTAGAGTTGCTCCTTTGGTTACCTTTTGGTCATAGGTTCGTGGTACGGCAGCTTCTTTGTGAAAATAAGAGGGTAAGGCTGCATACCGCATAGGAATTTTGTGTACGGGATAAGCCCATTACCATTTCTTGAGTAGTTAGTAACTCCATGTAGTTTAGCTTGAGATAAGTTAGTATCTAATGAGAAAACATAGAAACTATTAGATTGCACCTCAGTCTTAATCCAGTTGTGGTTAGTTATATGAATCATCTATATCCACCCAGCTCAATCTAGACCTGTTTTACTCAAATATTCAATGATACTGTGAAGCTAGAGATTCTTTACATCTTGCAAATTATATTCCTGGCCAAAAAAAAAAACGATCTCGATTATATTTTGGTCTCAACTAGTTGGTATGTGCTACATGCATCATTTACTTCCACTCTGTTCTGTTTTTCACTAACTAACCTTGCCTGGTCGAGAGGTATAGATCTTTTAAGACAATTTTCCCTTGTGATTTTAAGTCCACCTTCAATCATCATTGTGTTGCACCTATAGGCTGGTGGATTTGGAGGTCTATGTAGCATGGCTAAACAATATTAGGCGAACTTCTCTTATTTCATCCTCTGTGTCTGGTACTTGTAGCTCCTGTCAAAATTTTGATTTCTAATCTTGTCGTATCTGGTTAATATCTGCATTTCTACAAAAAAATCTTTTGAATATGTTGGGACGTAGAGGCTCAACACTCGCTCCATCATAATGTTGATGGTCTCATATGTAGAATTTACTGTTTGACTTTGATACGTATATTCCGATGACATAGCACTCCCTTATGTGCCACATTTTCATCTATCATACAATTCTCCTCTAGGAACGTGAAGCCAGACATATGAATTGTCTACCGAAACCAGCAAAGCAACAGTAGATAAATTAAATCAGATGAATCGTCTGCATTTACATCACAGTTATTTTTAATCTCACTTCAATGCTGAGCCTATTATCTATTTAGAAGCAGGAGGAAGTTCTTGAAAGCTTTGCTTTTCTTTTTCTTCCACTTCTTTCCATCTTTTTGATCTTCTCCTGTTGGTATCCTTTGTGTCTTGTTGATGGAGGACCAAGTCTACTCATCATTTTTTTATACTTATATGGCTTTTAGCCTTGTTAAAGGCTCACTTGAGGTGTGTTCTGAAACTAGGAGCACATCAAACCAGGTGTTTTGCTTCGCTTCACTTCATGTGATACTCTGATGCAAGGACCAAGGTGATATGGCGTGCACCACATACCAAACTCTGCTTCTAAAGAACAATATCAGAAAACATTTTGAATGAATATGTTAATAGTTAATAAGAAATTTAGTACGATAAAACTAGCTAAATCTCTTGACTTGAAAAATCAAGCTAAAGATAAAATTAGAAACTTAAAATTGTTTATGTACATTGAATTGTAGAATATAAGATGGTTTCTAAACTTGATTGACGTGATTATCACTTCATATATTTCAATTTATTACAAAATTTGCTTTCCATATATTATTTTTGTCCTTGTAGGTATTTTTTTCTTTCATTATGTGTGTATATATGTGTGTATATACGTGTGTCCGTTTTTTTCATTTGTGCCTTTCTTTGTTAAGTGCATTAATTGTGCTTTGCGCTTACAGCTGCTGCATACCTTGATGCTCCCTCTTTTTTTCTTTTCCTTTTTTTACTCTTCGTTTTGACAAAACTGGTAGCACTTCGTATACAGGTGATTAGTGCTAGTTATGCCAACAAATTTACTGGAACAAGCAAATTTTCTTTCCATATATTTTTTTGTCCTTGTAGGTATTTTTTTTCCTTTCATTATGTGTGTGTGTATATGTCTGTGTGTGTGTTTTTTTCCATTTGTGCCTTTCTTTGCCAAATGCATTAAATGTGCTTTTGCCTTACAGCCACTGCATATGTTAAACACCCCCCCCCCCCCCCTCTTTTTTTTTTTCTTTCCCTTTTTTTACTCTTCGCTTTGACAAAACTGGTGGCACTTCGTATACAGGTGATTAGTGCTAGTTATGCCAACAAATTACTGGATCAATGCTGAAAAAGCAGTTTTGTATTAAAGCCGCATCTTGTGTTTTCTGATCATTAATTGAAATCATTGTGATCTATCTCCAAATAAATGAGCAGATAACTTTCACCTGATCTCATCTACCATTTGTAAGTCGTCGTTAAATTTTATGCCTAATTTTCTATTTAACTCTTCCTTCTTGTGCAGGTAAATAGATGCGCAGATCCTAGGGATGCATGTTCAGCCATTGCTGGAGAATCATACAAACTGTGGCTAGACCATGAAAACCGGACAGATGATATAACAATCATCATTGTACATATTAAAGCCTTAACCAATGTATGAACCATTTGATTCTTATTTGTCAATTTTGTTGTTTCTTTTCGAGTTCTCCGGATAGGAATTTGCATATTTATGCTTTGCTTTCATTGTGTAAATCAGTATATTCCTAGTGTTAGTAGGAAGTATTAGGAACTTGATTGGTGGACTCTAGGAGCATCCGTAGCTAATATTAAAGGACTTAGTTCTTTCTTCTCTCATAGTGTCCTTTTCCGCAGCGGGAAAGGGGGATTATGTATTTGATCTACCAGCTTCTTTAAGAAAGAATCAAATTAATGTAGTTCCCAAATAATTTCTTGCCATTGGTATTTCCATGATTCAAGATTACTTCCATGTTTCTGTTTACTCTTGGATTAGCTAATATATTTTGAAGTTGGGATAGTCAGGTGGTGGCGTCACAGCCAAATGGAATGGAGGGAAAACAACAAACACGCAGAAAGAAACATCGGAGATATATTTCTCTCCGTGTGCTTCGGAAGGTTATCGGTCTGTAATGAGTGAATTCTCTGATGTTAGCTGTTGTCATCCTGTTTCATCACTAGACCACAAAGTAGTAGTTTCATCCAGCTTGTGAGTTTCACTCTTTCCCTATTTTGCTCTGTTCTTTATCTGCATATTGTTCTTCAAGTGATCACTTGCTTGTACTTCTCTTGCAGGGGTTGAACTAAGAAAAAGACTTCCAAGGGTTAACACGCATTCCCCCCATTGTAGATGTGCCTTAAATGGTAACTTCCCTCGTTTTTATAGTCCTCGATGGTTAGGTAAATACACATAAGAAGCAATGCATAAGTGGATGCACAAACTGATACTATATGCTATACCAGTCTACACATTTGACTGAATATGACAGGTAGATGGACTGTGCATTCATTTATCAGTTGAATCAGTGCCCTTTCCCTTGTAAACAATTCCATCTGGCTTCATTTGGTTGCTACTCAGTTTCCATTCCTGTGCATGGAACATCGATAAAAAATTACCTAGGTGGTTTATAGACTTCTTTACCCCGGGGCATTGCTTCTGTCAAGCTCCAAGCGTTAATACGGATGCTCATGTACATGGTTTCGTGTTCAATATATGCATCTTATTGCAACAAAAAGAGCAAACTATGTACTGTGTTCATCTAAACTTGTCAGTTTTAGAATGGCAATATTTCTACACGTCAATCTACTTGGCTGCGGAAGAACTTATTGTTGTATGAAATATCAAAGTATGTTACACTTGGTATTAATTGGTCAAATTTGTATAGAGGAGGAACTTTGTGTTTGAATCAATTATGGTCATGTGTTCATAAGCAATTCCGTAGAGCTCTTGTATGTTCTTGCTATTTGCTACCTTGATAATGTGATCCTTTACCTTACTGTTCAAGGAAATAAATAAAGAAAATGACTCCCTTACGAAATATGCTGGTAGGTAAGGAGTACCAAGAATTGCCTATTTTACAGGAAAACAGTTATGTGACGACTATTAAATTCTTTCTGATAGTGTATGTATCTTTTGAGTGCACTTCCCAATTTTAAACTACTCCTTTAGGCCATATACAATTCCTTGAACTTGGCAGATTCTTTAGGTACCTTTTCTAGGTGTGATATACTGAAATTTTAAGGGTGAAATTCAAAAATAGCCAGATTTACAAGTGATAATTGAAAATTAGTCAAGGTTTCAAAAGTAATCAAATTTTAGTCACTTTTCATGTAAAGATAAATTTGAACGAAAGCACTGTTCAAAATTCAGAAAATATTTCAGTATAATATATTGGAGTTCGATTTTTTTACATGTGAATTCCAGCATAATATATTGGAGTTCGATTTTTTTACATGTGAATTCCAGCATAATATATTGGAGTTCGATTTTTTTTACATGTGAATTCCCGCATAATATTGTGTTCTAGCATAATATGTTGGAAGTTCATACACAGGTGCTCAGTATATTATGCTGGAACTTTCTGTATGCTGGAGTTTCATGCTGAAAGTTCATATATAGCTGCACCAATCTCCAGTATATTATGCTGAAACTTTCTGTGTTGCAGTAAAATAGTGGTTATTTTTCAATGATTTTACAAACGCTAATTATTTTTTAATTACTAATTCGAAAACTAGCTAGCCCGTGCTATTTTTATAAAATTTAACGTTGTTGACATGTGCCTATTGAACATTAGGTCAACCACATTGGTCAGCCACCCAATTCTTATGACCAAATAAGAGGAAATTAGAAAATATTTTCTTCCCTGTGAAACAAATCGTTGTGACAGGTTATATTTCGATCAAGCTTCTAGGTGGCAGTAAAGTACTTTTTGAGGATTTTAAGGTGTTTGATCAAGAGAGATTGCTTTGAGCATTAGCAGAAGCAATTTTTATGCTTTTGGGAAAAAGCTACAAATTTTAATTACTTTCAAGAAGTAAAAATTATTCTTTTGAAGACGAAAAATATACTTACCAATATTTATACTTTTCAAAGTACTCCTCATTAATTTAACTTTTTTCTTTCTACCATTCATTTATTTATTTTTCTTATTTGTAATTGTTTTTATCTTTCTCCTATTTTTCTTTGAAATAGTCTCTCTGCAATAAATAAATTTCTTCTTTTATGTCGGATTTATAGAGTAGATATTTAATTTATGCTGAACGATGTATATTGATATGTTTGAATTATTATGTAAACAATAAGTAATGCCATAACCCAATGTTATTTCTTTGGGGAACTATATTTTATATTAATTAAGATTTTAATATAAATTTTACTTTACTAGTCTCACGGTATGTCCATTGCGGGTGTACCCTGTAGTAATAAATTTAAAATTTTAAAATATCACATATATTATTAAAAATGTATCTAAGTTATAAAATAGAGAGTAATGATGAAATCTGAAAATAATAAATGACAAACCGATTTAAAAACTCAATAGAGAAAAAGTTGTACCCGTTTTTTTTCTCATCCACTTGTTAATATTATTTTATTTATTTTCTTCTTTTCATAAAAACTAAGAAAGGAACTTTAAGAATACGTAATCCATGTACTTAGATGATATTGTCATAATCTATTTATCTATTATTCTTATGCCATGAAAACAAAAGTCAATTAAATTGCATGTTACTATCATTAATTTTTTTAAAACTAAAAATTTGAGAATCTAAAACTATTTAAAAGACAAACGTTATAGATTTTTTATATTTTTTAAAAAAAAGAAGAAAACGTTTGACTGTTGTAAACCAAAAAGAAAAATTGTATTAACCAAAAAATAGTTATTAATAGTATATTATAAACCATTGATTACTTAAGTTTTCAAAAGGGATTCTAACTCTGGAAAAAGTTTTAATCTCATTGCAGTGATACTTGAAAAACTCCTTCAATTATTATAAATCTAGCAGATCCGTCCTTAATCAAATATATTAGGTTTAAGTCCTGGGTATAACATTATTTTTGTTAATGTGAGATTTTTCGGTACGAAATCGAATTTAATCGTCCCCAATACAATACAAGTATTAGACAAGAAGTAGAAAATCAAAAAAATAGAGTAGCATATTATTAGATTTATAATCCTTAAAAGTAACTTGAGTTGCAAAGTAAAGGATTTTGTTATGCTAATTGAGCAGAATATTTTTATAAGATTTATAAAATTCTTGTGAAAGTTAACTTTAGTTAACATAAATAATTTTATTATGTCGATGCATAGAATATTTTTATTAATAAATCCTTGTGGAAGTTAATATATTTTCTAAACCTAGGAGTTAAAGCTTCTTGAAATTTGACCTAAAATATTTAGGCGATTGTGTTTTCAATATATACTAATAATAGAATAGTGATGCCTATCAAATTGAAATTGTGTTCTACATATTGAAATTCCAAAGTCACGCCAATAATTTCTCATGAAAAGACCACTTTGAAGAATCTTTTATCCTTTATGGAAAATAAAGAGTCCCAATCGTTAAAGGAATGGAAGTGATTAAAATAATTTGCCTAAAATATTTGGAAAGAATTAACCGTTAAATTTATTATTATATTTCTTTTAAAAATATCTTATATGATATAGTTCAAATAAGTAAAGATTTAATACACAAAAATTTAGTTGAATTTGAAGTCCTAAATATTAGGGAAATAATTAAATTACTATTTCTAAATATATAAATAATAATCAAATAACTATTTTGGTTAGTATGAACTATACTTTTGAATGGTAAAAAAGGCGAACGACATTTCGCTAAAGGCCTGCGTGCTTTTAATATAGTACTAGTCTTAGGATACGCGCTTTGCGCATGTAGCTATATCAATAAATATATAATTTTTTAAAATTATATATATTTTATTCAATAATGTGTTTGAGTTATTGAAAAAATATCAAAGAAAAAAAATGTTAGTTTCTAAATATAATGAATGTTAATCTCACTAAGCTAGCTCATTACACAAAGAAATCCTACTCCACATAAGTTTTTATATGTCTTATTATGATTTATGAGATAATATATATCTTATGAAAATTATTGTTATCTTTATTACCAAATACTATAAACAAATAACAAAAAAAAAAAAATACTTTACCATAATTATTCAAAGATATAAAATAAATTGAAGAATTTGAATCTTTGGGTCTTTTAGAAATGTAATCTTTACCTTCCTATCCCATTTATGAAACATTTTTACCCTATATGTTTAAGGTTTGAGTAAATTACATTTAATATACTAAATTACCATTTATATACCATAATTTAAAAAGGGATATAATTAATAGGCATCTATATCAGGCATAATTTTAGGACTTCCCAGTTTCTCTTTCCTTTTAGTTCTGCCCCACCCCCTCCGCACGTTTTACCCCTAACTCCCCCCTCCCCCCACGTTTTACCTTCACTCCCCCACGTTCTGCGTATATGAACTTCTTTACAGAACAAAATTTACCCACATTCTGCATTTTCCTCCATTTGAATTCTTATTCTTCAAAATTCTTTCCCATTTTTAGTCAAGTTTAAGTTAAACTATGAAGAACATCAAATCTCCCAAAAAATTTCCTAAAAAACGACAGTAGGTGATATCCCCTCCTTCGATATGGGTGTTTTAACACCAAAATCACCACAAAAATCCCTAAAATCTACACATGTAATAGAACCTACTAATCAAAGTTCATCTCCTAGACAAATCCGTGCCGAGAATAGAACAAAATATTTGCACGATGTCGATGCTGGAGGCAGTGGTACACCAGGCGGCAAACAACTCAAATGAAAGGGTAAAAAGCTTTGTGTAGATGACGATTTTGTGGATGATATCCCTAAAATTCCTAGAGTAAAAAAACCCAAGTTGTATTCTTCTTCCTCAAAGCAAAAATCGAAGAAACAGTCTAAAAATCACCCCAAATTGGTTCCAAAAAAATTTTTTGGAGAAGGTAAACATTATTATTTTCCTTTCCAGTTTTGTAGTTTTGTTTTGTATGTCAAAATCTCTGTTTTAAGTGTTTTGGTAAATTGTAGATTAGTTGTCTTAATTTTGTAGGCTATTTTGTAGATGTAATGTTTTACAGTTTATAATTGTAGGTATTTTGTAGTTGTCTTGTATTTATATTGTCGTTACATTTTAAATGTTGAAACAGAGATGTATTTACTTTCTTCTTCCTGCATTTTTTTTGATACTTTTTATATCTTTAGATGTTTGGTAAATTGTTGATTAGTTGTCTTAATTTTGTAGGTTATTTGTAGATGTGATGTTTTACAGTTTATAACTGTAGGTATTTTGTAATTGTCTTGTACTTATATTGTCTTTACATACAGTGGTTGGTTGCGGAGATTCCACAGCAAAAGGAAGGATCACTGTAAAAAAACTATTCTCTCTTTCTAGATGATTAATTATTATTTTTAATAATCATTTATTAAAATGAATTAAATTTTTGTGTCTTATGCAGCGATTGTGGGTATTTGTGGCTGCTTTTGCGGAGTATGTTAGCCTTGGAGATTTGTCAATCCCTTCAGAAGACCTTTCCGATATCGACCAACACCGTACACGCTATGGAGCTCTCCTATGGGACTATGCTACAAAGAAGCAAGAAGATGGGTCAATCAGTGAAAGTGAGGTTACAGGAAGGCTAGCAAGGAGGAAGAGTGCTCCTGCTTTGAATGAGAAGACTAGAGTCCAGAGAAAGAAGAAATAGTGTCCTGTTTTCCTAGTTTACTTGATGCCAGTTTGTAGTTGAAGGAGAATACACTACTTTATGAACAAAATTTTTAAGACCTTATTGTTTTGTTATTTTATGTTTCATTATTAGTTGTTCACTTGAATATAAATTGGCTTGTTTACAGCACTGTATCTTCCTTTTTGATGTTAGAATACGATTTGCCTACCAATAATTTTTACAATATCTACATTTTGTGAAGACTCAATTTAGTTATTGTATATAAATTTTGTAGTTGTATATCATAATTTTTAGTTGTTTACCTTCTGTGTATAACTGTCAGTTGAAGTTAAATTACACAATAAAAATAATAAATAAATACTCCAATCATAGAAATGTGTTATCCACAATTAATCTGCAAATTGTCTACAAAATTTTACAAAGACTACAATTTAACTACATTTAACCTACATTATATCTACAATCTGGAAACACTTTACATGAATTTACTTTTTAATATCAGTTGTATTGTAGATAATAAATATTAATACAAAATTACACTATATCAAAGACAAATTTAGATGGCTGACAAGATATATAAAAGCATATTAAACACACATAAAAAAATTGTAGTATACTTCATAATGATATTTAAAAACTTAAACAATTACACAAAAAAATGTAGATTCTTTAACTCACTAACAGTAACTACAAAATAACCATTCTAACTACATTATATTCATTTCTTTTTGGGAGCATTCTTGCAAGATCTTTTGTTATGCCCTTCACCTCCACAATTTCCACATGACACCTTGTACTTCTTAGACTTTATTTCATCATATGTTTTACATCTTTCCTTTTGAGGTCTCCCTGGCTGCCTTTTATCTCCCGTAGGTGGATATACTACCTCATCCAAAATATGTTGTGGCACATTCCATTTGCTTTCATCGGGAAGAGGATTTACTGGTATTTCATACGTACGCAGAAGGCTCTCCCTTGTGTAATACGGAGAGCAATAGTTTTCATATGTTTCATGCCTGTGCCTTAATGCTGCCAAAGCATGCGCACATGGAAGTTCTTCAAGTTGGAATTGGCCACAGCTACATTTCTTGTTTTCTAGACACACAATGTACCGTTTCACACCATCTAACACAGTATGTATATAATCTGTTGAAGCCCTCACCTACATTTGCAGAACAAACACAAAGAAAAAATATTTACAATCATAAAAATAGAATATCTACAATATATCTACAAATTATCTACAATCTACAAGTAAACTACAATTTGCCTACAATGTAATGTTTTTGTAGATTTATCTGAAAACAATACTGCTTAACTCTTTCATTGAACGAAATTGTATTCTAATTGTAGATAAATGTAGTAAATTTGTAGACAATATCGTAAAACTATAATTCTAAGCAATTTCAAACTACACAAACCTGCACTTGTGTTATCGATGGTGATTGCCAATTCCATATTGAAATCACGTACACTTATACATAACGGATATGAACCTAAGTTTTTATTCTCCTTTTTGGTCTCCATATACACACGAACCCCCATATCATTCCTAATCTCCATTGGGGGACAATTGTCGTTCACGATGTATTTGATTTCTACAATTTTTTCTGTAGTATCAATTGATAGTTGTTCTGCAATTGTAGAAATCAGGATACTGTAGCTTGCATTCTCATCTACCAAAATGGCATCAACTTCAAAATCTCTAAATCTGCCATAGTTATCCCAATTCCCATTAAATTGTAGCATGATTGCGATTTTGGACATGATTTGTTGTTGTTGTTGATGTTTTTTTTGGATTTCTATATTGAGAGAAGAAAAGATGAAGAACAGATATATATGATCGACAATTTGAGAGAAGAAACAACGAAGAACAGAATTTATCAACTTTGCGTTGTTGAATCTCGAAAATTTGAATTCAGTTCGTTCGTCGAAGCTGTTAGTAGTTGAATCTGTTCGTATTTTTCAGAAGCTGTTCGTTCTTTTTTTTTTCCCGAGATTTGAACTGTAGTTCTAGAGAAAAATATGCAGATTTGAACTTTTCTTTCCCTTTTAAAAATTGAATTTAATGTAGAATCAATTAATCTCAAGATTCTCTCCTTATTTTTAGCGCGTTTTCTAAGGAATATTCTGCCCTTTTAATACCTAATAAACGAATGGTATAAAATTTGTAGGAAAAATGTGGACTGGACGGGTAATTTACATACTATGCACATTTTTGGTAATAAAGTTTCATATATGGTATAGGACGGAAAAAATCTCTTTAGAAATTTGGGAGTGAAGAGATAGAACTATAGCTCATGGAACCCTATAGATAAATAACAATATAGAGTATGAAATAGCTAATATTGAATTATAAAAAATGATGTAAGACGATATGAAAAATATAGGGAGCTATCATTTATTAAAATAAATAAAAAAAGAAAGAAAAATGATAAGGGCAATTTTTGTGATTTTTTTTGTCTTATGTTATATCCTTATTGCTTCAACTTAACATTTTAGCAATTTAACTTTTAATACTATATTATAATAACTTTTTCTATTTTCTTATTTCTTTCACGGCAAATGCTCTTATTGTGTAAAATAATTTGTGTTCCTTAAGAGTTTACTTATAATAATTTTAAAACAAAATTGAATTGACTTTTTTGCTGCTTTATTAATTCAAAACTTAATTATTTATTGAGATTTTATGCTTTTTTGATAGTATAGAAGATACAAATTATTTTCAAATTTTTCTCCTACTCGAGCATAATATTATTCTCTTTATCGGTTTTATGCAATATTGAAAACTATATTTAATAATTAGAACAAATATTTATTTAGGTACAAAACATCTTGCTTTAGTAGTAACAGTATATAGAAACATGTTAGAATTATAAGTTCCCTAATAAGAGGAATCAATGTAAACATATTTTTATGGAAATCACGTGAGTATATACAAGGAAAAGAAACGTAATACTCTTAATTATCTTAAATAATATCTATTTTAAAGTCCTTAATATTATGGTTTCTTACTTAATTCAATAAGGAAAAATCTAATAATCAAAATTTTAGTTTTCTTAAAAGTCCTAAATATTAGGATAATAATTAAATGACTATTTTGTCTAGTGTGAGCTCTATTTTAAAAGGGTAAAAAAGGCGAACAGCATTTCGCTAAGGGCTTTAGTGCTTTTAATATAGTATAGATAGATATAGATAGATAGATAGATATAGATATATAGATGTTTTACAAATTCAATTGAGATAAAAAATTCAACTAATATGAAATGTTGATTGTGATCTCTTTTACAAAAAATACTAATTGTAACTGAACATTTACGGTCCATTTTTTCGTAATTTGATTCTCAAAAGTAATTTCTGAAAAGATTAGTCAAACATAATTAACTTATCAAATATTGAAAAAAGCATTTCTAAAATGAATTGGTCAAGCACAAACTACTATGCTTCAAAAGTACTTTTTCAAAAAATACTTTTAAATAAAAATTATTTTTCAGAATAAGCAGTTTTTGACAGTTTGGTTAAACGGGCTCTAAAGGGACCTATAATCAGTATACATCAAAATCTACACGCTGTTAATCTACGAATGTGGAAATTCGCTCTCAGCCAAGATTGAAGTCGAGGTACAACATTCATTGGTTTCCATCCAATCAAAGTCATTAAGTACGAGATTTAATAAGTAATTAAGGGCCGTATGCAAATTAAGCAAAGTAAACACAGTACTACTTCCTCCGGTCCACAATAAGTGATCAATTTACTTTGTTATTTTGGTCCAAAATAAGTGTCAATTTATATAATCAAGAAAGAATTCAATTTGTTTTTACAAAATTACCCTTATCTACACATCCCTAAAAAGTTTTCTTATTCCTCACATTAAATAATTAATTAAGGGTAGTTTAGTCATACTAGTTATTTTCGTATAGAATTTAGTATTATCTTAATGGGCATGCTAAAAACAAATTGGTCACTTATTGTGGACCGGAGGGAATATAATAATTAAACATAAGAGTTCATCGCAAACCCAATTAAGAACCCTAAACGGCTCTAACATTAAATGGCTAACATGGAAAAAAGTTGGAAAATCTCAGTTAATTATTAGCAAATCATATTGTATCCCTGTAATCATGGAAAAAATGAAAGATCCCAATAGATTTTCAGCAAATCAAATACTCCAGTAGAATATTCCTTCAGTCTATTTTTCCGTCCACATTCATTGTTTCAAGAATTATATAAAGCCATCCACATCTCAAAACTGTCTTAATTAATCACATAACTCAGTTCCCATTATAATTGTGTCGGAGTTAACAAGAACATAGTTTTGTGTCAATGGCAGTGACCAAAGTTGAGAAATCAGAGGAGGAATGGCGAGCCATTCTATCTCCTGAGCAGTTTCGTATCCTCCGTGAGAAAGGAACTGAGTATGTTCCCTTTTCCATATCTTTCTTTCTTCATTTTTTCCTCTTTTTTTTTTTTTTTTCTTTATCTGGTGTTTTTAAGACTGTAATTAGATTGATAATTGATCTAGCATATATGTTTATGTGTTGTACGTATTTATAATATACTTTTAATGTTGGTGTTTGTGTCAATTTTCTTTCGACTTTTGCATTTGATACCTGCTAGCTCTCACCTTTACAACTAGGTAACTCTGTAACCAAGCTTATGTTGCAAAATGTGTGTATATATATATATATATATATTAAATGGTGCAATTATTAAGAAAAAAGTTAAATGGTACACTTGCACCAGGGCACCTACTATACCTCCTACCGGCATAGGTACTGAATTACTGTACCAAGGCTTGGATAGTTGGGAGCAAATATTGAAATTCTCTCTTATTTATGACTAAATATTGTTCATGAATTTCGACTTCTAGATGGGCAAATAAGCAATAACGGGGATTCAACATTCAACTGCTTATATACTATATATATATATATATATATCATTTGGTTGATTTTTTAGAGTATTTGGTTGAATATTGATTTGGTATACTATATCGTTAGATGATTTGAAGCTGTTCAATTGGAATATTGGATGGTTTGATAATATAGTTAATAAACCTAATCTCATATTTCTTTTGGAAATTGAGGAAGAGACGATTGTGCACAAATGTAAGGCTTGTTTTAAAGTCAAAAAAAGCTCAAAGACATGTTGTTTCAATCCTCAATGCAACATTGCTAGCTGGAATATTATGTGTAGATGAAGTTGCTTTACCTAGTAGACTCTTTGTCTTGAGTTGTTGTCATACTTTTATATGCAACAATGCTTAGAAATTAGTATTTCACAGGTTGAAAGGCACTGGAGAATATAACAAGTTTTTTGGAGAAGGTATCTACAATTGTGCTGGTTGTGATACACCACTCTATAAATCCACAACCAAATTTGACTCTGGCTGTGGCTGGCCTGCTTTCTTTGAGGGTCTCCCGGGCACAATAAATCGCTCCGTAAGTAGCTGCCTTCCTTTTTGCTCCTTTTATATTTTGATCAAGCATTTGATATATTTAGAAGTGAAGCATGTTTCAAATCAAATGGAATGTGAAGCATCTTTAAACTCACTCAACTTTTGAGCTTGGCATTAGTGGATCCTAAGACAAAGAGTGGTTTTTTGCTGTAATCTGAAATCAAACTCTTTTGTATATATACTTACAGCCGGATCCAGATGGGAGGAGGACTGAGATCACTTGTGCAGCATGTGGTGGACACCTTGGTCATGTTTTCAAAGGTGAAGGTTTCAAGACACCGACAGATGAACGCCACTGTGTCAATAGTGTTTCTGTCAAGTTTAATACCTCTGCTTCACTCTGAAACTCTATATTTTGTAATGGGTGAAACGCGTTCTGCTTTGCTAGACCTTAAGCACCATTGCTTATAATAATAATAACTTTTGATTATTTGGCTTTTAATGTTTCTTGAGAATGCTTTTCCATCCTCCCAACTACTTCTATGATCAAAGTATTATCTTCTCTGTGTATGAAGTTTTGAGGTTTTAGACTAAAAGTGGAAGTGCACTTGAATTTGCTCCTAGCGAAGAACAGAAAGAATCCACTTATCTGAGGGTTCCTACCTCAGATAAAAGATGAGGGTTTCACCCGTGCTCTAATGATCGAACGAATACAAAAAAATTCATACAGTCGATCTCAAATAATTTGTATTTAAGGTGCAGTTGATTTATGGAAAAGCATCAGTATATGCTGGTAAATGTAAAAAACGTATGCTGCTGATAGTTAAAATGCTGCATTTAGTTGCATAAACGGAATTGGAAAGACAATAAGTTATACACTAAAGGTTTCTTCCTTTTAGATAAAAGTACCACTTTCTGCTAGTAAATATTTAGCCTGAAATCCCATCCTCATTCTTCTCTCACCTTAAGTCTGTTAAATGCTTTCAGACAGATGGTCATTAGGGGTAAATGAGCCATGAATCTTTTTGGCACCTTAAGCAGCAAATATACAACTTATGGGCTGAATCAAATCTGTGCACGTATTTATCGTGTAATAATTGTAGTTAGCCACTTTTTACCGTGGTTAGAGTTTAACCACGATTTAAAAAGTTATTAGACTTTAGTCATTCCATTTAAATGCGGGTATGTTTTGGACAAAAGTACACCCAATGTTGGATATAATTGTTATGGAGAATAGCAGTTAATTTGAGACGTGTCAAGGACACTCCCTAAGGATATTTCATGTCAAGGACACTATCCCTAAGGATATTTCGCCCACACAATAATGAATAAAATTAGGTGTATCCCCCAGAATTCAACAAGCTCTTCCAGTTATAAAACTGGGAACAGAACTAGCAGAAAACTCAAGAAAGAAGCCCAGCATATAGAAGGAAGAAGATGATTCAGAAAGTTATGTTAGAAAGTGTGTCTTTAGCTCTTCAAAGACTTTTATATAGGTGTTGCTCCAACTGCTAGATAACGGCTAGTTAACCGCTAGTAACGGCTAGTTTGACTTTATTAATTGTAAAATAACTTACTAAATAAAAAGTAGATGTAAATAATATTTCAAAGAGAAAGTTTTCCCAAACCAAGATGGGCATTACCTTTTGAGATATTACTAATTTTCCAACAATCCCCCACATATCTCAAAAGGGATATAAAAATAAAATAGTAAATAAAGAAAGAAAGAGAGAATAATTTGCTGGGTTTCGGGTATAATGAAATTCATCTGGTGTCTTATAGACTATGAACCTGATATAGATAAAACAAGATTTAACTTACAGAATAGTTGGAAAAGTTTACAACTTCTATGAACCAAAAAATTCTTGTTGTAAGCTAGGGATCTTATCATCATATTACACCCCCACAATTTCTGGTGTTATCGCGATTTTGCGCTAATAGGCCATGCGCGCGCCTGGTTTTCATGAGTGCTCTAGAAATTTTGTCACAAATTTCATAGGACCGGCCCCACTCCACACTCATATTGGTCCATCCATCAAGTGTATTCTTCAGCACAATACACCACCTATAAAAGGCTATGGATTATTGGCTTAAGAGTTTAATAACTCAACCTCACATTCCTTGCACTCTTATACTATGTGCATATACACCATAGGAAGAGACATATTTTAATAGTGCACATTTGATCAACTAATGACTTGTTATTACCCATATGAACCTACTTCATGGGATCTCCAATCACATAGGTTGGGTTACCATCATTGTTGATACATCTCAAATTGGCAAAAGTCTAAACCCCTCGATGTTTCACTTATAAGTCAAAGAATCGGCCAAATCCTCTTTTGACTACACATAATATGTATAAATATTTCTCTCTCTAAGCAATTGCTTTATGACATTATATCTTTAAAAAGAAGTGTGTCCACTCTTCCCATTGAAAAGTTTATTTTCTTACAATGGTTATTGCACATTGGCAGTCACAATTCATCGACATAATTATTGTCGGTTTAACTCACCAAGAAGTTGCTTAATCAACCTCATTGCCAGACAATTCCTATCATAACACCCACCAAAAGGTGATCACACAACAACTAGCTAATTTTTTCTCATCTGAATCAGAGATTCAATATCATCACTGTATCCTTCTAATACAGTGGAAAATCTACATACAGAATACTAATTCATAGTATTTCTCAAATAAGACACAAAATCACCCCAAATAAAATAAAACTTGACTTCTATACAAATGCTTTTTGAAACATCTTTCAACACGTATAAGAATTTATTTTCTTTTGGTATTTTTCGTATTCAAATACCAAGATAAAATTTTCAAAACATAGAAGCAACTTTAACTTCTACCAAAATATCTCAAATTAGTAGGAAAGGGGTCATAATTCAATTATTTCTTCACCCAAATTACTAAGAGACACAAAGCAGGATTATTTTCAGAGCCAGAAATACAATATATTTTTTATCTTCCAATATAATTTTCACTATAAAAAATCTCAATTTTTTAAGGCCTCGTTATAATTTTAACAAACAATTTGTCCTTCTTAGGAACACGATATATAACTCTGGGCACCACGAACCCCCACATTTTTAAAAATTTCAGGTTCAAGAGATAATCTTTTCACAACTCATAAAGAGTTCCACCAACACATTAATTGTCACGACCTATTTTCTAAACAAGCCGGGACCGGCACTCGATCACTAAATATGACCGAGCGAACCATCTCTACTTATCAAATCTATTATAACCCCAAACTTTATATACAACAAGGCAATACTCTAACAAATACTTTTGATTAATTTAAATATTCAAATAAATCAACTCCAAAACTTTATTCGTAGTAACTACTGAATTGCTGCTAAGTTGTTATAAAAAAAAACATTTGAATCTTAACCCAACAACTATGTCTATGAAGCCTCTACTGATAAACCGACGCACTGCTCAGGACATGAGATTTCCTGGCCAGTTCTTTAAGTAACAAAGAAATAACTAAATAAAGATGACTCTAAGGAATATTCCACGAACAAAAGCGGAGCTCACCAATAGCACTGGAAGAGAAGGAAGTCCTAACTCGTTGCCTGCTCGCCTGCAAATCCGGTTCCTACGTTGTACCGCAGACCAAGGTTCCCAAAAGAGAACGTCAGTACCATCCATTGTACTCGGTGAGTCTCAACAACAGGGGCGAAACTTTAATAACATATACATTATGAGCAAAGGTTCTAAACGCATGTAAAACACAAAGCTTATAAGAATAATTCTAAATAATTGCATAATAGCAGTTTATGAATATTCTAAAAGAAATTCTTTTCTTTTTCTTTCTTATAAAAAAATAAATAAATATACTTCACTTTATACTTTGGGTGTTCCAACTATCCTGACTTAATTCTGTCCCAGTCACCGTGTGATCGGATCGAATAGGCCCAATCCACGAGGTGCCACTCGCTTCATGGTTCTCAGCGCTCATGTATCATACCTTAGCATGGCTAAATAATTTCTCAGCAACGAGACCCTCGGCTCGTGTGCTCCCTACTTTGGCACAAGTAGTTTCAGGAAGTCAATGCCTTGGTCAGGACCCTCGGCCTGGACGATGACCCCTTCTCAGAATAAAAGATACTCCCAAAAATCTTTTCTTTCTAAAACTTCTTCTTGTGACTTTCCAAGTCTAAATCCTTTATACATACTCATACCGGTATCCCTAAATGTAAGGCATGACATAAGAATGAAATAAACATTCAAAAGTATTTATAAAGGTTCTTGATCCTTCATGAATTTTCAACATGGAAATGGCATATACGAATAACATAAAAATCTGAAATTTATGCACATATATCCAAATAATCATCTAAACTTTAGCTAGAAAATAATTCTAAGCTAATAGGTACTTACTACTCCAATTAAGTACAAAGAATAACATAAAAATCTGAAATTTATGCACATATATCCAAATAATCATCTAAACTTTAGCTAGAAAATAATTCTGAGCTAATAGGTACTTACTACTCCAATTAAGTATATATTAACTCTTTTATTCAATTCATCAAACACCTTGTGTGCGTACTTTTGTGAGTTAAACCACTTTAGTAAAGGGTTATATCAACTCACCTCAAACTTCTCGAGCCAATACGTAGACTCCAGTCCAATTTATACCCGTCAAACAATTGATTCTACAACAACCAGTGCATTTAAATTAATTTTAAAATTTCACACCTAAACATGAATTATTGTTGATATAGAGGAAGAAGGAAATTAACTATTCTATTCTTACCTACTACTACTTTAGGATAATTAAGAATAGAAAATTCTATGTACCTGAGTTTAAGAATCAGTGATTTGTGAAGAACCCCATAATTTTTTTTGTGAAATTTCTACTGCCTCTCGTGCGTCTGTTTCTCCGTTTTCTGATTTCTAAGGCATAAGCCCTTTTCTTTGTTCCCTTCAGACTTTTTAACTTGAGTCACGTGACTCTTTTTGCTTAATTATTTTTTTCTTATTTTTTTTTTCTTTTGCTTGTATAAAGGCTTTAAGCCTTTGTTTACAACAACCCTTTTATGGGCTTTAGGGTAACTTTTTTTTTTTTTGAATTAACTAATAATTAGTGTTACACACTTTTTAATAATTAATAATATTAAAAAAAATTAATAATTAAATTTTATATTTAGCGTGTCTTGAAACTTTTATAGCTTTGAGGAGTGTTACATTAATCATCATCTACCCTTCCATAAAAAAAATCTGTCAAATTCTATTTGACATGAATGATTAAGTCACTCTTTCATTCTCATAGAATTAGCAAAGAATTTATACGACTTGGGTGGAATCAATCATGCTTTTATTTGTAACACTCCAAATTCAAAACTCAAATTTGTTGAAATTGAAGAATAAATTTAAACCCACTATCTTAGAGCTTTCAAGATTTTCAAAAATGGATAACAATAAAAGTCTATATTTTTGTAGGCTTAGACGCATATAAATACTATAAAAGGCGTACCTTAATTTTGTGGTGCAATTTATCCTCCATAATGCGATAATGCACAAAATTGAAACAACAACTTGATTAATATTCTGTTGCTCACAAAAATAATTTCAATAAAGAGTGGTATTCTCCATTAGACCATTGTGCAAACTTGAAGTGTAGGTTTCATTTTCAGAATTAGAACAATAACTTGGAAAACGTCAAATTTGATTCTCCATAATAATAAAAAATTTGGAAATATCCTTAAGATTGTTGGAAATAATTGTTATGGAGAATAGGAGTTAACTTGAGGTGTGTCAAGGACACTGTCCTTAAGGATATTTCTCCCACACAATAATGAATAAAATTAGACGTATCCTCAGGATTCAACAAGCTCTTCCAGTTATAAAACTGAGAACAGAACTAGCAGAAACTCAAGAAAGAAACCCAGCATATAGAAGGAAGAAGATGATTCAAAAAGTTATGTTAGAAAGTGTGTCTTTAGCTATTCAAAGATCATGTTTATATAGGTGTTGCTCCAACGGCTAGATAACGGCTAGTTTGACTCTATTAATTGTAAAATAACTTACTAAATAATAAGTAGATGTAAATAATATTTCTAAGAGAAAAGTTTTCCCAAACCAAGATGGACATTACCTTTTGAGATATCACTAATTTTCCAATACCCAACACATTAAACAATACCAACAAGCGCTACTGAATTTCAAATATTCTCAAGTAAAGCTCCAGCATAATATACTGGACTTTGCAATCCAAAATATATGGTATTGGACTTTACAACATTCAAAGGTAAAATTCTAGCACACTGTACTAAAATTCAAATATAGGTTCAAAACCTAGCAATGATACCTTATTTTGAACTCCATGACACTATCATGAAATTCTAAGTTCTACAAGTTGAATCAACTATCCTGAAGTTCAAAAGAAGTGTCATTGGAGAAAATATTTCGTTTAGGCTCAAATCCCAGCAAAAATTACTGTGGTTTAGACCTTTATAGGTTAAACAATAATTACAGGGTTTGTTCAAACCTTTATAGATTCAAACCCCAGGAACGATTATTGGTGTTTAAACTTTTAAAGGTTCAAACCCCAGTAAAAATTACTAGAGTTTGAATTCTTTCATATTGTTTCAGATACCTTGTTTTGAACACCAGGAGTCATTCCTTAATTTTACACAAGCAAAGGCTCAAAAATCAGAAATTATTCTTGGGGTTTCGAACTCCAGTATCAATTGCTGGAATTCTATTTCATATTTTAGTTGATCACAAAAATATTAATTAGTTGGATTAATAGCTACGTTGCCAATGCATTTGAAATGCAACCAAACTCTAAAAGTAGAGCCTAAAAGTGGCTCCAACCAATTTTTTTGTTTTTATCACTATTCAAATTTGGACTTTGAAATTTGGATAGAACTGAACAAATAAAGAGATCCATTTCCTCCAAGAGAAAACTGCCCTCTATAGCCCCTCAAAATTTTAATAGCCAATATTTTTGCCCATTGACACAAAATAGCCCTCCGGCCCAAACATATTACATTCAATAGCCCGAAATATCTATTTTGTATATTTTTTGTATAGTGACAGTCTATTTTGTATAGTGACAGTATATTTTGTATGCCTTTTTGTATAGTGACAGTCTATTTTGTATATATTTTGTATAGTAACAGTCTATTGTATATAAATTGTATAGTGACAGTCTATTTAGTATATTTTTGTATAGTAACAGTCTATTTTGTATAGTGATAGTCTATTTAGTGTATTTTTTGTATAATGACAGTCTATTTTTGTATATATTCTGTATAGTGACAGTCTATTGTATATAAATTGTATAGTGACAGTCTATTTTGTATATATATTTTGTAATATACCAATATTCAAAAGAAATGCTCTCCAGTCTAATACATAATCTAAAATGACTTTTAAATTTGGTGAATACGGTGCGCATTCTGAAGAGGGATTGAATGAAGATACTTGGAATGAAGGAAGAGATAGGGAGACAAAATCTAATAATCTGGAGAAGCCGAAGTTTGCTGCTAATTCCGACCCAACTGGACGGAATAGCCAATTTTTGTCAAGAACGGAATCATTTTCTTGTGCGTCATCGGTAGGTTCTCCATCTATACTCCAGAATAAGGTTGCATAAACTTCCATCAAGATCAATGAAGCTGAAAAAATGTGGCATTACAAGGATCCTTCTGGTAAAATACAGGGACCATTTTCTATGGTCCAGTTGCGTAAATAGAGCAATACAGGATACGACGATCGTCAGGTGAAGGCGGTCCCCTCCGGAGTGGATCAGGATTGGAGGGCGTTGATTGGTGGTTCAATACGGAGGCGGCGCTTGCGACGGCGGCGTTCGGCAGCGGCTTCTTCAGTTGAGAAAAATGCGTATGATCGCTGAGGGAGAAGGAAGTTAGAGTTTTGAGTGGCAGTAGTCTTGGGCTGTTAATTGTATGGTTTATTTTGTGGCTAGCTATTGTCATTAGTTTTCCCGGATGACTACAAATGAAGTTTGCTCTATACAATTTGCATTGTTACTTTTTCGGTTGTTAAAATTAGAAGTGTCATCCTATTAGTCTAGCAAACTCAATGGAATAATAATTGGTACCATAGAGAAGTGACCATAAATTAGAGAGTCTTGACCAATTTAAAAGATATGTAATTGAAATAACTGAGTTTTGAGTTGTTCGATTAAATAAAGAGAAACTGGAATTCATTACTGTCTTAAAACTATTTCCAAGGTTGCCTTGTAGTGGTCATTCAATTGCTTGTTGAGAAAGTAAAGGAGGAAACCACTTGGATAGTGAGATAGTGAGAGCACTGAGGGAAAAGGACCAAGGACGAAGTCAATGGTTGCTTTTATCCAAAAAGCATCAAAATTACTTTTGTAATAGTACCAATTTTAGAAAGACATCCTCTTAGAAAAGAATTTCTACATGCTACCAATAAACTTAATATTTACTAATAAAAGTATAAATAAAGTTACATAATTATATTGGTTCTTATGTATCAGTAACTATCTCTACTGTTAGAAAACTAATTCAAAATTGTAGTGGGATAATAAATTATTTAGGGTTTCGTATTTGCAGCGTTATTTGATTCATGTCTAAATATGATTTGTAGTCATAATTAATATATGAATAGACTTTCATGTTTCTAGTTGAAATAAGTTTCGTACTATTATAAATAAGGGTATTAGTAGCTTATTTGATTGTATGGGGATCTGTAGAGGAAATAAAGACTTGTAGAGATCATTTAGAGATTTATAAATAAAATATTTTCCTTCATCTACTAATCTGTTATAATTTTAACTTCTGTGTTTAGAATAGATTTGTGTATGCACCTTTCTTTACTCGCTCCCCACCACATTCTTTCTCATAATAGATTCTCCATTTTCCATTCAGAAAAAAGTTAGCAAACTGGCACCATTTCCAGAAACCAAACTAATAGTGTAATAAACATATAATACAAAAAGATAATAAACATACCTTTACAGTTTAAAGTCATACTCATCTCAATGTTTATTAATTCCATCATATAATAGACACATTTTCAACTATTCCAGTCTCCAGAAACCGAAACTAACAGTATAATGAACATCCAACACAAAAAGAGAATGTACATGTCTTATACTTTAAAGTCATACTCATCTCAATGTTTATCAATAGTAAACAAGAATTAGTCATCACTGTGGATTTTTGTTAGCCCCCATTGGGGAAAAAATCAGCAGAAAAAGAACAGTAAGTCTCCAACTTCAGAAAACTGATCAAAATGCTTTCTCAACTCCTCTTGTCCTTCTGTCTTCTTTCATTACATGCCTTTAGAGCCTGAACTTCTGTAAGCAGTTTTTCAAATAATTACAAAGCAATAAACAATTGGCCACCAGTTGTATGCATTTTCTAAATTTCCCCCGACCGTGTTAATGAAACTAATATTATAAACAAGAGAATCTCAGTATACATATATATACAAAACACATCTGAACACGAAAGTGTGCAGTTCTGCCCCTTCTGTCATACAGAATCGTAGGCCGGATTAAAACATGCACATGTGATTCTGAGTAGAGATCCCGGTATACTATGTTCCAATGCACCGCTTATACGATTTCTTAATATTCTACTTAACTTGGATACTGTACTAACAACTATGTTACATGAACTCTACAAAGATGTTGCCGCACCTGTGCTAGATCTTTACTTTTGAAGAATCCGACACACACCCATCAGCATTTTTGAAGAATCAAAACAACATAGACTAACAGTGGTGGAGCTACCTATTTGGAAGGGGGTTTAATTGCATCCCTTTCGTTTAAATAGTATTATACTGCATAAAGAGTAAAAATAACACCCAAGGGTGTGACCTAGTGGTCGATGAAGTAGGTTGAGAACCATGAGGTCTCATGTTCAAACTAGGCGATTTCTTTCGATTTGTCGCAAAATTTGATGGACAAGAGTTACGTGGTACATATGCTGGTGGGAGACGATAAGCTGGTCCGGACGCGGTTTTCAGAAAAAATGGTAAAATAATTTTTTGTATATCTATACATTATTGAATCCCCTTGACAAGGGGTTAATGTTGTATTCTAGCATTTTTTGAATCCCCTTCCTGGTTCCGCCATTGCGTACTAAAATACATAGGTTTCATACAACCACCACTACTACTGCACATATGCTATATGAATCCTCATTATTCATGTTGTTCCATTTAAGCCATAAGCTTCTGTATTTTGAGTAGAAATTATTTAAGATAATCTAATCGAAACTAATCTCAGTTTGATCCCCTAAAGCAGAAGCTATAAATAACAACAAAGAGAGCAAATGCAAACCACTAAAAGATCCCTAAATTTTGCATTCCAATTTAAATACAGCACTTTTTCTCTCTTTCTAAATACTAAAACTCGTATTCATCAACCAAAAACTTAATGAAAATACCCATTTGACACTAACGGGGAAGAACAAAATTTCAAGTAAAATAGAGAGGGAAAAAATAGAAGATACCCTTTTGACAAGACTTCCAATTCCTATCAGTATTAATCAGACAATCCTGCAAATATAAACCCTTTGATCAGTTCCATTTCAGGGTTTAGGGTTTAAGAAATTAATACTATTATTTCCAAAAAGCAGAAAAATTCAAAAAATTTAGAGAACCTGTAAAGATAAGTAGAGAGAAGAGCATTGGTTGAGCTGCTTCACAGTCTCATCATTTTCGTCGGCGTCGTCCTGGTGCACCGGCGGCATCGGCGGCGAAGAGGGTGGCGCGTTGGGAGATTGTTGACGGTCCATATATGTTGGCTGAGTCTTGGTCATCAATGGTTAGCTACTTTAGTTGGGACAATTTTTGGTGGGTCATTTCCCATATAAAAGCCCAATTGGACATAAAAATGTCCAGTTTCACTTAAATCTCTAGTCATTAATCATAGACTTATAATCCGTTTGCCCAAGCTACAAAAATCAGCTTATTTAGAGAAGTGCTTTTTTTTCAAAAGCGTTTTTTTCAAAAGTACTTTTGGTGAGAAGCAGTTTGTGTTTGGCTAATTAGTTTGAAAAGCACTTCTGAGCAGCAATTAGTGTTTGGCCAAGCTTTAAAAAACTGCTTCTAAGTGTATTTTTCTCAAAAGTACTTCTCAAAAAAGTACTTTTGGAGAGAAGCTACTTTTTTCTGCTTCTCCAAAACTGCTTCTGCTTCTCCTCAAAAGCACTTTTTTTCCTTCCAAAAGCTTAGCAAAACACCTCAATTTTTGGCCAAAAGTGCTTTTGGCCAAAAAAAAGCACTTTTGGCCAAAAAGAAGTTTGGCCAAACAGGCTATTAATAACACTAGCCAAACACATAAAAAAATTGAATACCTAAATAAATAAGGTTTTTGTTGTCCCAAGAATCACATGCAAAGATCTCTTTCCAGATTTTTAAGCGTGATCAGCAATATTAAATGCAAGACGGAAAGAAAATTTCATGGATGAGGTAGCAAACAAGGCGATGAACGATTCTAAAAAGCTAAGCAAAAAGGACCTTTTTGCAATGGGTGTGGTTGAAATTTATTGAAAACATATAGATTAGTCAATATACAAATTTTGAGGAAGATTGGAGGTGATCTGGAGTGATTTGGTATCAAAATTCGTAGTTAAAATCAAGTTCAAAAATTCTTCTATGACACATGTATCGCGCATGTATTACACACAGGTATATATGGCTATACATGTGATGTGATACACATTTGATACAAATAGGATACATATGTGATATACAAATGATACACATCATTTTTTTCATGTTTCATCTTCTACTTCGAATTTTCAATTCAAACCACCTCAAAACTCTGCAAAATCATCCCAAAAGTGAGATTCAAACTTCTTAAGATGTACACAATCTATTCTAATTGTTGGATTTTTAAGCATTAAAATAGGCTTAAAAGAGGGTGAATGGGAAATGGAGGGAAAATGAAATATTTGAGTTTCATTTGAGATTCCCTCCTTGACAAAGGGACATTGTCCCATATTGGAAGAGGAAGAGGTTTTTGATGGGTATTTAAGTAATTTCTCTTCTTCTAGCTCCTAAAGAGTTGAGAAGAAGGCAAGTCTCGCGCCGTCGTTGTCGTCGCTCGCTCGGCCCGGATTCAGATTCGGATTCGGATTCGGATTTGGATTTGGTCAAATGATCAATTGATTGATTGATTGATTAATTTTTTCAGCCCAACCTTGACTATAAATACAAGTCCATTCTCTCAGATTTTCCATACGATTTTCTAAGTTTTCCTCCTTTCTTCTGCATACTTTTAACTTCAAAGAAAGCAACAGTAAGTGTGATTTTGTAACGACCCAACTGGTCGTTTTGCTTTATAGAATCCCGTTCCCCTAAATAAGACTTCCCGTACTTGCTTTTACTGATTTATGACTTGCGGGGATGGTTGGTTCGGGATTTGGAAGAGTTTGGGTTGAAATCGAAACACTTGGTTCGTTAAGGTTGGCTTAAAAGGCCAAGTTTGACTTCGATCAACATTTTGAGTAAACGACTTTGGAATCTGGATTTGAAGTTCCAACAGGTTCATATGATGATTTTGGACTTGGGCGTATGTCCGGATTAGGTTTTGGATGACCGGGAGCGTTTTGGCGCCTAGTAGTGAAAGTTGATTCCTTAAGGATTTTGAAGTTCTTATATATTTGGTTTGGAGCGGGTTTTTGTCTTATCGAGGTCCGTATGGAATTCCAAAATCGGGAATAGTTCCGTATTGTCATTTAAGACTTGCACGCAAAATTTGGTGTCAACCCGAGCAGTATAAGTGTGTTTCGTCGCATTGGATGTGGATTGAAGAACTTGAAGTTCATAAGTTTGATTCAATTGGTTTTAGGGGGTGATTCTTAGATTTAGCGTTGTTTCGGGCGTTCCGAGGGTTCGAGCGAGTCCGTTTTATGATTTCAAGCTTGTCGGTATGTTCATGCGGGGCCCTGGTGGCCCCGAGCGTCAATTGGACGAGGCTTGAGTTGAGTTAGAAAATTGGAAAAAGCTGAAGCTCCAGGTTGCTGTCATAACCGCACCTGTGGTGGGCCAGCCGCAGGTGCGAGACCACAAAAGCGGTCAACCCTTCGCAGGTGCAGCCCCAGGAGATGAGCCCAGGAATCGCAGATGCGACTCCTTTCCCCCAGAAGCGGAACCACAGAAGCGGTCCCCAGCCAGCCCAAGCAAAGTCCGCAGATGCGGGCACTTCCTCGTAGAAGCGAAACCGCTTGTGCGGAAATCACATAAGGCAGTGCCTTCATTTAATATGGGAAATGTGTCATTTTTGACACATTTCATTCAATTCTTGGGCGATTTGGGAGCTTCCAAAGAGGGGATTTCGTCCTAGCGTTGTGAGGTAAGTTATTTCTACATAATGTGAGTTTAATACATAGTTTAGGGTAGATTACACCTTGCAAATTAGTGAAAAATGTGGGTTTAGAGTAAAACCTAGGGTTTTGATAAAAGCAAGATTTTACCACGAAATTTATTATGGAATGAAGTAAAAATCAAATATTCTTAATCCTTAGGTTAAGGGTAACAACTTCCCTCGAGAATTTCCGAAATCCGGGCACGTGGGCCCGGGGATGGATTTTAGGAAACTTGTATTTAGGGTTGAAAAATTATTTTAATATTTAGAATATGAACTTTCGAGTGTGTATTGATTAGTTCTTACCCCGTTTGATTAGTTTTGGATCGTTCGGCTCCGAATTGAGGATTTGAGCGCGTTCTTGCTATTGGAAGTAAGCTTTGGAGCAAGGTGAGTCTCCTTTCTAACTTCGTAAGAGGGAATTATCCCCATAGGAGAAATAATTGAATATTTGTCACTAATTGCGGGGGCTACGTACGCACGAGGTGACGAGAGTCCGTGCGTAGCTACTATTATGCTTAAGTCCGGGTAGTCTAGGACCCAAAAACATGCTTTACTTGTTGTATTTGTAACTCTATTGTGAATTCAAAATTTGTAAATCATATTGAACTTGGCAAATGGATTTCTAGAAAGTCAAACATCATTTTCTTGACTGTTAGAGATAAACTTGACATTACTTTGGATAATTGCCTTCTTGATAAAATTATTGATTGATTGTTTGATGTGTTTAACTGTGATTAACCGCGTCACATATATGATTCGCGAGCGGGGTAATAGATGAATCTATGGTTCGCGCCGTTCGACCCTCCGGCAATGCACATTTTATTTTTATGTTGGATGGGACCGTACGACCTCGGCATTACTTGCGCATGTTACTTGCCTGGTAGTTTCTGTGATTTGAACTGTCTAAAATGCCTTGGAATATGGATTGTTAACTGAAATTTTATCTATGAAAAAGCTTGTCACTTCCTGTTATCAACTGTTATTTATTTATGACATCCATGCTTAGCGTAACACTTAATTATGTTATTATTGACCCTAGTACGTGTCAAGTCGACCTCTCGTCACTACTTCTTCGAGGTTAGATTGGATACTTACTGGGTACATGTTGTTTTATGTACTCATACTACGCTTCTGTACTTAAATTTACAGGATCTGAGACAGGTGCATCTAGCTACTAGTCCAGCGTGCGTTTCTGATACTTGACCGAGATCTCACGGTGAGCTGCCCTTCTGAGCCGTTCAGCAGCATACTGGAGTTTCTCTTCTTTTGTTGTTATTATGTACTATCTATTCTGTTTCAGGCAGTAGGATAATGGTATTCTTTTTTTTGTACATTCTACTAGTTGCCCTAGTACTTGTGCACTAGTTCCTGACACGCATTGTAGACTATTATTTTGGGATGTAACTATATTATTACGAACTTGTTAATTATTGATTGTTTAATAACACTGTTAAGAAAAATGATGATTTTGTTTTTGGTAAATTAATAAGGACTCACCAGTTGAATTAAGGTTGGCTTGCCTGGCAATGGTGTCGGGCGCCATCACGATCTATGATGGAATTTGGGTCGTGATAGATTTGCTACAAAACTTTGTGTTCGCTGAAACACTGGGGTTTGAAGTACCACTACACCAGTGTGTAATTCGTACTATCCTGGGAGAAAATAATCCATAACCTTAGGTACTAGGAGGGGATTAAATTCCTTAAGAAAACACTGTGAATTCAGTGGGCTCGGATTAACTTTTGTTTGGTTTACATTTTTTGTTTATATATTATTCTATCTTTTCCAGAATTAGTTTACAAATACAATTTGATAACAAGCTTAAGGAATTTAATTATTTTCTGTATTTGTGTTATATTTACTGTTCTGGAGATTAAAACCTTTATGGTTTTCTACTCCGTTGGAGATTAAAATCTACGTGATTTTAACGTTTGCTTGTGTCATTCTTTTACATAAATGACTAATGATAACGGAAACCAAGCTGTTCCGATGGTGACTGCCAATGCGTCGACAAGCCGAACACCGGCAGAAAAACCTGGAATATTTTCCAGGATTGATTTCAAGCGGTGGCAGCAGAAGATGTTCTTCTACCTGACTACTTTAAGTCTGCAGAAGTTCATTAAGGAAGATGTTCCTGTTTTGCCCGATGAAACTCCAGAGAATGAACGCTTTCTTGTGATTGAGGCGTGGAAGCATTCTGATTTTCTGTGCAACAATTATGTTCTTAGAGGACTGGAGCACGATCTGTATAACGTATACAGTGGCGTGGAGACGTCAAAAGAATTGTGGACTGCGCTTGAAAAAAAAATACAAAACTGAAGATGCCGGGTTGAAGAAATTCGTTGCCGCTAAGTTTTTGGACTACAAAATGGTAGATAGCAAGTCTGTTATTACCCAAGTCCAGGAATTGCAAGTGATTATTCACGATCTCCTTGTTGAAGGTATAAATCGAATTAATACTGA